CCCGCTTTCATGTTGACAAGTTAATCACGCGTCACATACTTAATCAGACGGAGGATACGTTTTGCCCGTTTTACTTTATCCGGATCTAAGAACGCGCTATTACAATTTCGCAAGCGTTTCGTAGGAGATTCTGGCAGAAACGTTGCGTAATAAAATTGAGGAGTTTAATCGCGAAGGATAGTAGAAGAGGGAGGAAAAAGGGAGGGAAAGCTTAAACCGCATAATCGATCTTATTTAAAATAATAAATTTTATATATATCCCATTGCACAATGCATGCACGAACGATTCAACGATCATGCAACATTATAAAACAATTTCGACAGATTCATTAATAATCGATAATAATTATTTCAGTTGATTAGACACGTGTATTGCATTATAAATTCAACGATCGTATCGTTTAAAAATAATTTTATAATTGAAATAATATATTACTTCTATTCAGATGATCTATATACGAGCATTACACGATGTATCTACTGTTCACTACTGGAAAGAAGTCACGTGGGACGGTATAGGGGCAAGAGGGATCCATCGCCTATCCCCACTTCAGACGCTTTGTTGACGAACGTGACACCACACACTACATAGTAGCAGAGATGGCTATACGATTCTTAATCGGTTCTAAAATGAATTCACGAATGCTCCGCGTAAATTGAGACTGTATAATATTTTTCTTTACAAATTTTGCATAAATATATCAGCATCTCACAAATTCAACGACTTTTTTTTTTACATTTAAATGTAAATAACAAAATCATATTAAAAACAATTTCAATTTTAATTCGCTAATTCAAACGTAAGATATTTTTAACTAAATAACGTTCGATGATTGATAACCAATGCTTGCCCCGATAAACAACATCGGTTTAAGAGATCGAATTCTTTCGATCGCCAACGATTAACAGCTCATGAGGAATGAGACGCACGTGTTGCGTGTTTGACATTTGTCTGGCATTTCGAAAGTGCGCCGCTTTGATCGCTCTTGACAAATCATAACGTCGGACGATTCGAGCCGAGACGAGGTGAAAAATGATGCGCGCACCAGTGGTGGAAAAAATCGGTTCTCATTGTTCCGTGTGATTTCCGTGTAATGGGGCTGGCTAGTGGATTAGGAAACACGGTGGTGGAAATCGCGATAACGCGTTGCCAACGAAGAGGATGATGAATGGAATCGTGTTCCATCGTGGATAACGAAGGTGGAAATACGAGGAATACCTTCGTCTCGCCTCGGTGTGCACCCAGTTTCCGGAAACCGTGTCGAGTGAATTTGTCCAGAGCAAGGATCGCTTCTGTTTCTTCTTTAAAATCGTCGAAATTTAAAATTGAAGATTATTGTAATTATTGTAATTTTTCAAACCTTCGATCGTTTCCAGAACAATCGTCCAGTGGATCTCAAAGAGCTGCAGAGTAGCTCAAATCGTCAAAATTTCATTTCGAATCTTAAAATAATAGCCGAGTAAAATGAAAAATTATAAACTCGAGTGAAATTATCCAAGATATATTTATTATAATGAAACTAGGAATCTTAAGGAAAGAGTTAAAAATAATTTTCATCGTTTCGAATTTTTTCCTTAATAAACGTGTCTTTGACCTTTCGAAAGAAAGTTTATATTTAAACTTATATATTTTATTATAATTGTTAGAAAAATTTTTTCTCACAAGTTCAATCGCAAGATCAAATTTCAAAATGAGAAAATGCAATGATATTCTCATCTCTAATTCGAAAGTAATGGCGGTCGAAGTTGTCTCGTTCACCACGCGTTCAGAAAGCAACTTCTTAGTAATCACGATGATTAATGCACAAGTTATAATGCCACTTTCAAGTTTGAAACACTATATCTCGATTTCTAAACATAACTTCGCGCTTCGTGTAACCGACAAAATCTCGTAGGATGGATCGATGACACCGGTTAATTAGTTACGATTTAGTAATTAGTTACGATTCTAAATAGTTTATTCACGTGATACGTGAGTTAGAGAAAAATTAATTGAAAACAAGTATTACATTTCAATAATATTATTCATATTATTACATCAAATTGATCGACTTTCGAAATGAAATATTTATTCATCCTGGAAGGAAACGCCTATTTTTCACACATATTTTTGTTTCTATTCCATGGTATTTGTCCAAAACAATCTGTATTTAAACCTCGCATAGCATAGGCATAAAATTCAGAATATTCTAAAAATTTTATTTCTCATAATGTGTATAAATTATGATTTCTAACGATAGTTTAATTTATAAATGTGATTTTATATTCGAATAATTAATAATTGTATGTATATTAATATCAAAATAATTAATAATTTCGAAAATATTCCAATTTTAAACGAGTATTGTAATATAATTTCATAAATGCAAATAATTTTTACGAATATTCAAATTATAGCTCTTCTTCTACTGTAGCAGCGTGTGGTGCCAAAATTGTCAACAAAGCGTTCGAAGTGGGGATAGGGCGGTCCTAGGCGAAGGACACATTTTATCTTTATGCCTTTCCCCGAGACTTCTTTCCAACAAAGTAAACAGTACGTGTTACGTTTCTTCTACCGTACGTTTTCTTTACCCATTTCTTTACTTTTCTTTTCTTTACATTTCTTTACATTTCTTTACTTTTTTCTTTATTTTTTTTTCTTTGTAAAAAAAATACAATTTCGAAGAAAAGTTTATTGCAATATCCCGTCTCGCTCGAAGAAACAAGAATGTCATTTATTTTCGAAGATTTTTTCAAAGATTTATCGTATCTCGAATATGTTTTCTTCAGCCTCGTGAAGTAGAAAGCAGTAATTAATATAACGATTATAAATGCTGTTCCACGGCTGTCCTTTTTCGTTTAACATTTCCCTTGTATCATCGTCCTGTCGGCCTTCGCTGCATTCAACCTTTGACGCCCAGGTGGGGGATTATGCCAATAACGTGATTGACGTCGCAGCTGATAATGCCGGATAGCGTATATTTTTTTCATAATCCTTCGACGATCGATCGATCGATCCTTTGATAGTACTTGGCGAGTTAGATAAGCGCAATATATCGAAACGTAAAATGTTTCATACGAAAATTATTATATAGAAGCGATACGATATGTTGAGCGATTTATGTCGAAAAAATACACTTTGAATAATATATTTTTTATAACGATTTCATAACGATTCTTTTA